GATATTTCTTTGATGTGTTATTGCGAATGCGCTGTGGTTTGCTGCTGCTGTTGCTGATATTGTTGTGCAGTTTCTAGTGTACGAAGAGTTTGTTGTCGTTTTATAACATCTTCGTGATCAAATGGAAGGCACGAGAGAGAGATATTAATGGCTTTGTTGGCATGAGAGATAGCTTCGTTAAAATGACGTAAATGGCCTAAATTATTGGCCATATTGTCGTGAACAGCAGCCAAATTAGGATGACTGGGACGCAGACAACGCGTATAAATATCGAGCGCCTTTCTACAGTAATCAAGACTTTCTTCATAATTTTTCTATCGTCACGAACATGACTGATAGTGCTGTAGGTTGAAGCTAAATCCATATGATACTTAGGCAAAGTATCTTGGATTTTCAAAGCCTTTTTTAGATTATCTAAAGCATCATCGTGACGTTGAAGATATAGAAGTGTTTCATCGATTTGAGTGTACTTCTTCGCCAGTGTCTACAAAAACATTTAGCTATCAAATCAAACTGAATATCATAGTTCTTTTGCTTTTTACCTGAGGTTCTGTGTTATACTGTTTTCTTCGTATTTCTAACGCGCGTTGAATATTTTCCAATGCCTTCTCTAAATCTTTCTTTTGTTCGAACTGCAACTGACCAATCATTGAATAGGTATCAGCTATGACGGATGCGTACATTTTTCCATATTTATTGTAGATAGTCAGTGCTTTCTCAAAGTAATCCAATGCAGTATTAAACTTATTCAGACGGTAATGAATATAGCTTAATTGATGATACGCATGCGCCATATTTCCAGATTTTCTATTTTCAGTGGCTTTATCTAGTATTCTCTCATAAATTTCAATCGCTTTCGGTCACTCTTGCATACGCAATGTTAGTTGACCAAAACTACACAGATGATTATCTTGCATAGTAATTTCTTCTCGGAGATATTGAATCAGTTGCTGAGGGTGGGTGAGGGTGTCCAGGAAATATGGGTGCTCTTATAAACTTTAGACATACGGTGACTGCACTCACCCTCAACCAACCTAATTTCAATCATACTCCTAAATTTTTTGCAAAATAGTTAGATCGGCCCCTCAAATGATAATAACAACGATCTTTCTCATTCCGAACGTATAATTAGATTGAAAAAAAGAAAATAAGCGAAAATTGCTGTTAAAAATCGAAAAATACATGTACAAAATGAACGGTTGGAAAATGACTCAGAAATTTTGAGAAAGAAAGTGAGTTGAGGAAAGATAATACGTAGATTATATCTAGGGCATCTAAGGAGTCGAACGGTGAAAGAAAAAAGTCTATATCTTCATAAGAAAGTGAGTTGATGCATTTTCAATGAGCTTCAGTCGAATGGTTGGTGTGTGAAAAGGAATAAATTTTTTCAAGGAGAAAGATATGCGTTGAGCGATGAAAACCTAGTGTCCTAGTATCAGTTTTTGATGCCGAATTCACAGAAAAAACTTTCAAAGCTATAATAAATCTTTTCGAAGCACCATCGTCAAAATCCCAGTAGAAAACCTGTTTTTTAACCCCTTGGTTTTCGCAGTATTTTTCGATTTCCGGTAGTAAAATCATTTCTTATCTAATTAAATCATACATATTCGGAGTCAGCGCATCGAAGCACGTCGGAATCCATTAAAAAATTGACAAAAAAAATTTTGCTCGAATTTTACATTGCGCCAACCTTATGTTCAATACTTTTTTGCTCATGTGTTCAGTATATAGAGGTTCCGCTACGGAACGTTTTGCTATAATTAAAACTGAGTTGAGTTATGTCGTTGAAGTTGAGAAAATAAAGAAGAAAATGTTTGAAAAAGGTACAAAACGTTGTTGACAATCAAATAATTATGATAACCCTGCCTAGCTACTTCGATGGGTTCTGTTCACATCGCTTCCTTTTTAACAAATAATTAAAAAGAAACTTTCAGGAACTTTTTTCTATGTAATTACATTATTTATCATAGTAAAATATGAATAACAGAAGAGAAAGTGAAAGACAGTAAATTTCAATTGAATAAATGAAACTTGTTGAAGAAACACAATTTTGAACGTGTTGTTATAATACAACAATGCCGGGACTGAGCTCTCCTAGAATTTTTGAAAAAATATAATATTTGTTGGTGATGTCATTGTATATCGCTTTCTGTAGTTTATGAAGAGATTTTCATTTGGTTGTTCTATTGATTATTCATAGAATCGAACACAAACTTGTTTTCTTTTCTTACCGTTGCAGCTTCATAATAATATTCAACTAAAACATGACTTCTGACAAAATGACTGTTGAGATAAATACATGAGCATGGTGCTTAAGTTGTGTACTTTACATTTAAGTAAAGATTTGATTGTATCCCCAGATTTTCGTAAAAATAACTTACATTAGTTGGAGTTATTATTACGTGTCCAGATAAGCAATGACTAGTTGAACAATTTTTTTTTCACTATACTTTCCTCTAGCAAGCTGCGGTTTTTTAATAGATAGATGAGGATATCCTTCTTCAGATGACGAGAAGAAATATTTTATAAGAAACAAAATTTTTAAAACTGGCTCCGTCATTTGAAGTATCAAAGAGTTTTCCTTCAAATGAGACCACCCTAGGTGCTCTATCTCAAGGTATAATGAGAAATCCTTGTATCCGGAGAACCCATATATTGAGGGCTAGAGTCCTGAGAACTTTTTACACGCGTAGCTCTATGCGTCGAGCATTTGTAAGAGGGTTTATGAGAGTTTCATGCACTATGTCGCCATCGCATTTTGGAGGGGGAGGCTTTATGAAGCTCAAGTGTTTGAGAACTGTTCACTATATCGATTGATATCTTGAAAGGCGACGGGCCGAACCTTCTCGAGAGAAATTTCTGGCGCGGTCGCTACATATAATATTAAAAATCTCTCTATCAAGATATTTCTTTCTGAGCAACATACCAAAAGAGAAAGTGTGTCTTTCCAAAAATATATAGGAATTGACTTTTCAATTTTAAAGAGAACTAATTACTTTTTAATGATAACTAGATTTCGAGACCAGTATTGACGTCGGCATCGTGACTTTCCATTCCATTTGGTTAATAGAATGAGATGAGAAAGAGAAGCATATGGTAAATTCAGGAGAAAAAAAGTATTCCTTGCCCAAAATATTTCTTTCTTTTGTTAAGTTAAATTTATTTCAATTGCAGTCTCGTTGATAATGACTTCAAGGAATACTTGTTTATGGATTCTTTCTGTGATTATTACACAATTAGTCGGAGAAGATATGAGATCCGTTCGAATGTTTGCAATGCGTGGCAGGAAATTNTCATTCGATGTGAAAATTCCTGAGAATTTACATGCAAAAGTAAACTTCTGATTTCTGGTAGTAACAATAAGTGCAGTTGCTTTGTGTACAATTATAGTAATGATTGAATTCATATGAGGTGTTTCAGATAATGGAGCTGAAGAAAATTATATTAGGGAATGATGGTGAAGTCGAAAATTGATGAATTGCGCGGGCGATATATTTTACAGTATCATGCGGAAAGAATGGCTGCTAGTAAATTTCTGTTGATAAGCAGAAATCAGAGGGAGCACTTTCGCGAAAATTGGTTTCAATTTGAGATTTGCCACGCCCTCGCTTGTAACGATAAGACGGCCAACTTCATGTGGATTTGTAGATGTGTATTGTGAGCGCGAGACGAAGTCCAACTGTTGACGGACAAGTAGGTTTGTAACGAAAAGTTCAGGTAATTGCTGAGTAGAGAAATAAGTGTTGAAGACGAGTATATAAGCGCTCAATACCACTTTTAACAGTATTGATAGTATTAGAATGCGCATTTAAAATTGGAATCGTAGCATTAAGAGCTTGTTGTGTTAATTGCAACTCTTCCCCGAGTAGGGATGTACCGAGACCGAGACATGACCGAGAGTCTCGGGCGAGATCTCGGTCTGTCTCGGTCTTAATGAAGTCGGTCTCCAAAAATGTCAACTGTGTGCAAAATTAAATTTAGAACTTTTTACGTATGGTCCGCTGTTGAGTTTAAAATAGCATTCGCAAGGATTTATTATTTATTTATGAAAAACTAACAAATCTGTGTTTATTTATCATTTATAAACACTTTTTCAGGCAAAATAGCGTTACTAAAGTGTAGCAATTATAAACCTTTATAAATCAGCTCCTTGTAAACTCAACAGTGGCATGGTGACTAAAATTTGGATGAACGAGAAGCTCGGTGTCTCGGCGAGACTACGAGATTTCGGCCGAGATCTCACCCAAGACCGAGACTGACCGAGCCCGAGAATCTCGGTCTCGGTACATCCCTAACCGTAGAGTTAATCGACGATCTTGCTCGATAAGATGCATCAAGAGATTTACATCTACCTCCAATGGTCTACCGGGACTAGGTATATCGTCGAGTTCTAAGTTCCCGTTCTTACACCGATTGAACCAATGTTGCGTTGTGCGAGTAGAGATTATATCCTCCCCCATCGTGCTGCATACGTTGCTGGCTGCTTCCTTCACTTCGTGGCCGGACAGAATTCATGAAGCAAAAACACTCGACTCTCTCTGCGAGAAAGATTCGTTTTCAGTTCATGATCAGTGTCCATATCAATGAATTTATTATCGTTCAAAGACACTCACATGCCATCTGTAAACCCTGAGTATTGAAACGTCCAGAACTTCTTCGAATATTTTAGAAGATTTTAAAAAATGCAAAAACTTTGTTAACAATCTAATATTACCGGTCTCCCATAATTTCCAGCGAGGATCTTCAATATTGTTAAAATCTCATTTGAATCAGCTCGCATATCCAAGCCACAGATGAGTCAAGCGCGCTGTTCTGTACTTGGTCAAGTTCCATGAGCACGATGAGCGATTTAATTCTATGTTTTTGGATGTCAAAACGTTTCTTGAGGGTTAAGGTGACGAATAATTTGAGTTCTGTATCGTTGGAATACTGCTGTCGGATCTGTTCGTTTCTTAACGAATACGACATATTAGATTCTTGGTTGGAATCCTGCTTCCATGAAATAGGCGAAATGTTCTGGTACCCGCCAGTTTCGTGCCGGATTCTCCGACTTGGGTAATAATTAGCTAGTTAGTGAGCTTTGATAGCATTACTTCAATACAACAATACCATTTTGTCTTCGGTTCGTACATTTGTATGTTCAATACTTTTTTGCTCATGTGTTCAGTATATAGAGGTTCCACTACGGAACGTTTTGCTATAATTAAAACTGAGTTGAGTTATGTCGTTGAAGTTGGGAACATAAAGAAGGAAATTTTTGAAAAAGGTGGAAAACGTTGTTAACAATCAAATAATTATGATAACCCTGCCTAGCTACTTCGATGAGTTCTGTTCACCTCGGTTCCTTTTTAACAAATAATTAAAAAAAGGCTTTCAGAAACTTTTTTCTATGTAATTACATTATTTATCATAGTAAAATACGAATAGCAGAAGAGAAAGTGAAAGGCAACAAATTTCAATTGAATAAATGAAAGTTGTTGAAGAAACACAGTTTTGAACGCGTTGTTATAATACAACAATGCTGGGACTGAGCTGAGCTCCCCTAGAATTTTTGAAAAAAATATAATATTTGTCGGTGATGTCATTGTATATCGCTTTCTGTACTTTATGAAAAGATTTTCATATGGTTGTTCTATTGATTATTCATACAATCGAACACAAACTTATTTTCTTTTCTTACCGTTTCAGTTTCATAATAATATTCAACTAAAACATGACTTCTGACAAAATGACTGTCGAAGTAAACACATGAGCACGATGCCTAAGTTGTGTACTTTACATCTAAGTAAAGATT